TCAGGTTCATACAGGTAGGTTGGTCGCATGTTCTGGTGATGCTTTGCTGGGTGGTGTTTGGAGGGGTAGTCGGCTAGGTTGAGTGAGCCGGGTTGCCAGTACACTGTGTACTGGTTTTGGTTGACTCGATCTTGCAGCTAGTAGAAGCACATATCAATGGCCTTGGAGCCTTTCTGCTTCACGGTGTCATTGATGATGCCTTCGGCAACTCTCTTTTCTATGCGCATTGGGGTGGCTGGCTGTGAGTGTCCCATGTATTCTAGTGTAATTCGAAGGGGGGCATCCTTCTTGGCCGAATTCGAATGCTGCTCATGTTTCGGCTTCTGCCGTGGAGGTGACTACCATCTTGAGGATGGGCTGATGACAAGGATGGGTCCGTTTTGTAGTGGTGGTTGTGGTGGCGCTGCGTCGTCGCTGCAATAGAAGTACCCTGCTACTCTGGACCGTGCGCCTGGTTCACTTAAGTAGGAGGCGTCACTGTCGATGCGGAGGACCATGGCGCTTTGTTTGTAGCGGATTGTCGCATTGGTGTGTGTGGCTGCATAGTCAAGGAGCTTGTGGCATGCTTTGAGAGTGTTGGTTGTTGGTGTTGCTTGGGTGGTGGCTATGGCACTGAGGGCAGTGAGCATAGTGTTGTCAATGGCTCGTGCATAGAAGAGTAGCACACCGAGGATTTGTTGTATGTGTTTTTCTCTTTGTGGTTGAGGGGTGCAGGGGTGTCTGCATCAGATGTCATCTGGATGTCATACTGGAGGGGCTTGGCTGTGTACTGTGAGTGTTCTGGTTTGATGGGTGCTGGATGGTTGAACCGTTGGAAGGCTTTGTCGATGTACCCAGGCATGGATATGCCAGGTGGGGGACGAGTCGGTCGTTGGCGACACGTCCAGCTTGCTTTAGTCCGTACATGCCTCCATCGATGGCCACATAGCAGAAGCCGCGGTCGTCGATCAGGTTTTGTTCACGGAGTTGGTATTGTTGGATGATCCAATCCGGGATGACGGAGATGTGGATTTTCATGTACTCGGTGCGTGGCAGTGGATTGCAAAGGTAGTAGTCTTTGATATCCATTGTCATGAACTTCGCATCTGGTGTGCTGAGGACGCTGTTGAGGAGGAGTTTGGTGGTTGTCATGTCTGCTGTTTTGGTGGTGGTTTTGAAGGGGTAGTTGATCGTGTCACCGCCGAAATCCTGGCAGGCCTAGTATTTAGGCGAAACTGCCCAAAGGGATGAACACTGGATCTACTGTGGTTGCCCGCTTCGCAGTGTTCTGTCACCAGCAACTCTGACGTCCTGTAACATACAAGGCGAGGGCAACCGGAGTGAGGTCCAGAGGCCAGTGTTAATCCACACTGGCCTCTGGATTGAGCTTTACACTGAGGAGAGTTTACCTCAGTCTCTTACACGCTTAACACTGAGGAGTTTAGCTCAGTCTCTCACACGCTTAATTGTGAAGCATTTATTTAAGCCTTTCCTACCAAGGCTACACAAAAACTAGTGACTTAGACAAACACACGGGAGTAAGATTTGATGAACGCAAACCACAATACTACTATTTTACTATACGTCTGTACCATGGATTGTAAATATATTACATTATTCCTTCTTTTTATTGCCCCTCGATACGCCTTCAGAGAATGGCCATGTGTCAAGAACTATTGAAAGCTACACGATTACTATACGCATTTATTCAATGCATGATTCGAAATTGAGAGGGCGCCCTTACTAACGCCTGTGCAGGCTTGCGAATGTCCTATTCTTACTGGTCAACCGAAAGATATAAAGTTAAGAATTCGAATCCTGCATAAGCACAGGGTTGCACCCCTTAGAAGCATTTACTATATATATTGTTGTAATAATCTACCAACATGTGCAGTCACGCTTTTCTACTCTTTTACTGTACGAATACAGCTCTGTGCAGGATTCATGTTCCATTTGGAGTTTCGATGCATGTTTCAAAAGGGCACATTTATTTAACCCTGCGCAGGACACGATTTTTACTGGTAAATGCAAGATATAAGGTCAGTAGTTCGAATCCTGCATAGTAACCTTTTTGCACCCATAGTATGTTTTACTATAAATAATGCTGTACGTTTCTACCTCACAATGCAGTCACGAATTCTCATAAAAATGTCTCCTTCTTTCCGGTGACATATGCCTGTGCAGAATAGACACGAATACTATACAAAGTACTGTACGAATCTACCGGATTATGATTCGGCCAATGCAGCATAGCCTGTGAAAAGGAATTTGATACCGTTTATGCAAACCACTGTGGTAATCTATAGTAAAATAGTAGGATTGTGCTTTGCCAACACGACATGATACTCTATCTCGCCACTAGCTAGATATTACTAGTCAGGTTTGCTGCGCTTCCTCTTTCTTAATCTCTAACCCTTGAATTTTAATAAAATTATGGCGCCGTGTGGTCCCCTTTGCAAGCGAACGACGGCAGCTACTGTTAAGATGACATCGAAGATGCAATCTAACACTAGGGATGCACAAGCACACCAAAAAGATCGAGGCAAACACATCGTCAACCCATCAAAATTGACCAAAAAGCACTCGAGATTTAGACTGGATTCCTTCACGAATGACCATAATAAAGACACAATCGAAGACAATGATGGTTTCCGACTTGTCAACCGTACTAGGAACACAACACTACACAACAAGGCGGTTGTTGTCGCGAGCACTACTGCAATTACACCCAATCAGAAAAATCCATTCTGGGCACTGATGCAGGCTGACGACCTCTGGCTACTGCAATACAACAAGGATAACGATGATTATGATGCCGACTCCGTCAACACCATCGACACCACAGGCACAGCGTCAACCACCGGGGACACCACGTCAAAGACCCCTCAGCGTAACACCACGCGTACAACAACACAACCAACGTCATTTTACAATAAATGTACCAGACAACCAGTCAAGCCTCTTGGTATCACTCCACTGCCTGTCCCGCCCGTTCTTGCAACTCAGAAGTCCATCGTTATTTGGGAATCAACACAAGATACAAACACCAAAAAGCCGCATTGCGCGAGTCCATGCAAGACACGCAACACTGCTTGCAATAATTCAATTAAATTCAATTAAACACAGTTGGTAGTGGTTTCACAGCAGGCATTCCTGCTCGTCCACTACCACCCACACCAACAACATTTGAGGATTTCCTTGCCACTTTGGAGCCTTGGGAAACAGCTCTCTATGACGAGCTTGAATGGATGGTGGACGCCTACTCAGTCCTGCAGATTGTCACAGCCATGCCCTTCTGGGTGGCCAGCGATGGGGCTGCAGACATTGACGCCGGCAAGGCGAGTTTTGCTTGGGTTCTGGCAGATAATCGCGGTCAGATTGTGCTTCGGTGCTCTGGTCCGGTTTTTGGTATGGTTCCGACTTCCTACAGGGCGGAGGCTTACGGCATTCTATCCCCTACTTGCCTTCTTCGACGATTGCTGGAGTTCTACGATCAGACCACCATGAAGAATTATGTACACTTATGCGACAATGAATCGGTTACAAATAAGTGCGCTAGCTGTCTCGAGTACGAGGGCTGGTACCCCAATGATTCGTTGGACTCCGACTGGGATGTCTTGCACCAGATCGAGGATTCATTTCGGGCTGCCGTCACTGTGCCCAAGATGGAGCACATCAAATCGCACCAGGACAAGCACAAGGCCATCGAAACACTACCCCTGAAAGCACAACTGAACTGCAGAGCTGACAAACTGGCAGGCAGTTACATGACCAGACACATCAAACAGGATCACTCCAAAGTACTCCGATTTCCGGCCAACTTGGCCCAGCTGCACCTTACCAGAGGAACATGCACATACAAGCTTCCCAGAACCCTGCGGCATCTCAGGAACGACCAGCCCCTGTTCGACCACATTGTCAAACTGAATCCCAACTGGGACGAGGACACCCCTGCACTGGTTGATTGGACAGCCCATGGTCGAGCTGTCAACCGTCACGAGATCCACAAACCGACAATTGTGAAGTTTCTATTTCAATTGTTGCCAGTTGGGAAAAGGATCCACCGGGATGACCCCAAGTATGATCACCACTGTCCCCGTTGTGGCGGTGATCACGAGACTGAAACCCATGTTTACCGGTGCCCGCATGTTGACGTGGATTTGTGGCGAGGAACCATGCAACGAGCGATCAGCACAAAGTTGCGCAGGAATTCCACAGACCCCTTCCTCCTGGAAATTGTTCTGGATGGACTACAATACCACTTTGAAGATCGATTCCTCCACCCATGGCATTACCCAGACAGGTATAGGGACCTTGTTGACACTCAAAATCTCATTGGCTGGGACAACTTCCTGAGAGGACGTTTGTCCACACACTGGGCTAAGCATCAAGATGCATATCTGCATCGGGTCGGCTCCCAGGAGCCCACCAAGACCGGGCAGCTCTGGGTCACCAACCTAGCCTCACTGCTCATCCAGCAGTGGTGGAACCTGTGGGAGGATGGAAATGCTGCCAGGCATGGCAAAGACAGGGAAGACCAGTGGAAGAAGAAGCACGAACAGCTTCAGCGGGAGGTGGAACTCATCTACGAGAAAGCGGATCTGATCCCAGCGGAGCTGGTGGATTTTATCTTCATGCGACCGCTTGACGAGCAAATGGCAAAGGGCCCAGGCAACATCAAAGCATGGCTTGCCAATTGGCTGCCCGTCGTCGACAAGGCACTCAGGGACGAGCATGCACGCACCGAGCAGAACAATGACACAGGGTGACTATGCACAAAGGGGGTCTTACCGTAGAAATAGATGGCAATCCAGCCAAGGGTAGTTAGTTAGCTGCAAAGCACCCTCCGGAGTTTTTAAACTTCTCTGGTGGGGGGCTTGCACTAGGCCGGTTCCTATGTTGGCGTCCTTGTACGTCTGAGGTACTCCGGTTCAATATGGCTCCGTTCAGCGGGTGGTCTATTGAGGTGCAGCCTAAATAATAAAACTTCGTTATTCATTAATTCAATTAAACACATCAAGATGACAACGACCAGCACATCCAATCTCATCAGCAATGATCTCATCGAACTCAACAATAAAACAGAATGGCCACCACTCGTTGATACTACCGCACAAGGAGCTGGACGGAATGACACAGCCAAAACCTGCTGGCCTCAACGAGGCGACAGTACAATGCGTTCTCCTACTGTCTCGATCTCGCGTCGAGGTCCTGACTTGATCATCAAAGCAACACGGAAGAAGAAATTTCACCTAAAGCCTGATATCCTCTCTGCTCTCCACGGCTGCCACGAGGTCCCTACTCCTTCCCATGCGAGTGCTGGTGACACCTACAATCCAATGATTGACACTACTGAATCATCTGCAGCTCCATGACTTTGCGAAAGAACCGTGACTGATGACAGTGCCAAATCACCCATTACATCGACTGTCTCAATGCCATTCACTACTCATGGCGGCTCCGATAGCAAGGGCGACGCAACTCAAGTATACGACCAGTGCCTCTTGCGATGATACAAGTATTGGCAAGCCAGATTCTCATCCTGCTGTCTCCATCAACGATTGCAATAAGGATCAACCGGCAATAAAGAAAACTCCAACAACATCGTTCACTACACTGCCACATGTCTCTGCCCACTATGGTACTGCTAATGAACCGATAGACTTAGTCTCTCCAACAAGCAAGACAAGAAACCTTGACAGAGACAACCATCTAGAAGGACGATCCTTGGAGCAAGCTGACCTCTCTATACCGGTTATGTGTATCAACTGCAATGCATTGGTGACTCCAAGAGTGCTAGCTTCGAGCGATTCCACAACTGAGTTCCTTGGAATGAACAGTAGCATTGATCCGACCCACTTTTGTCTTTCCTGCAAGCAGTTCATTCCATTACAAGGTCCCTTGGCTTTGGATACTCGCTCGACATCACCATTGACACTCCTCTTATCCCACAATGCAACTACACCGGAAGTTGAAGACATTACTCACACAGAGGATGAGATTCAGGAGGCCATCCAGCATCTTCAAGATACTGCAAGGAGACAGGAATTGATGGACGATCTCACGGCAACACATTCCTCCAGAAGCAACACGGCATCAACGACAGTAACAACAACAGACCCTTCCTGTCCCCAGTGTCACGGTCCCACGACTATGCCCACCACTCAGAAACCAGAGGCCACCAAAACATCAGATCAGTCAGTTCCAACCAAGACATGTAACAGTCCCCAGCGGTGCTTCTGTCACCAGGTTTCGATCTCTAGACCTCAAGACCCATTGTGTTTCCTCTGCAAGTGGAAGGCCGATCCAGAAAAGATACTCACTTATCTGGAAACAGAACTGGCATTCCTTGTTCCAGCAGACCCAGCAAATGACACTGCCTCTGTCTGTGTTAGGAACTCCCTTCTTGAGCTACAGAGAACCCACTGTCCATTGCCTCAAGAAATTCACTGCAGAGCAACGTCCTTGGGTCTACTGGAACCACTCCTGATACTGATGTTCCACCAATTCCAGGCATTGCCACCCTGACCATTCAGGAGTCCAAACAAGATGCTGCTGCTGCTTCACTTGGTGATAACAATCCCATGACTCTTGATGCAGATGAGAGCACCGATGAAACCAACACCAATGGTACTCAGGATGGCGACAACAGAGATACAATGAGGGATGACGACGAGGAAAGCTTTGAGGATGCCAACAATGTAGAAAGGAGCATCAAGGCACACTACTTTGGTGTTCGCATCGAGGCAATGAATCCAGCAACCACACAATGCCTATGCCTCTGGTCGTACAGTTGTTGACCCTGTTGGGTTCTGATGAAAGGCACACAATCTCCTTCAAAGACCATGAAGGGACAGGAGACTTTGAGGGAAATGGTGTTGACTTGGACTCCCTAGGAGACATGACCCGCAACTAGCTAGTGAAGTGGCTCAATGCCTCAGTGATGGACTGGGGCCCCATCAATGACTACATTCATTGATTTGCCTGTTCTTTCTATGTGCACGGCCCTGATTACAACAGTGTGGCTACACTCAAGAAGATTCAAGGGGTGGTTCCCTTTCTCAAAGAACACAAGCTCTTCATGCGCCCACACAGCTTAGAGGAATCCCAAACTGCTACAGTCTGCTACATTGCCGGGAAGAATCCAAAGAAGACCTTCCGGGATGGCCTGTTACCTAGGGTATCCAGTTGGTTACATCAACAGAGGCCTTCAATCACCTGTCCCATCGCCATTGTTCCGACCAAAGTCAAGGTTGACACTGAGAAGTTTGACATCCTTGGCATACAAGTGGGTATCGCCTACCGCCCAGCCTTTGAGAACATGATGAAAGCTATTGCCAATGATCCCACTCTACAACACCCACAGTTGGATCTACTGAGCCCAAAATTGAACAAGATCAGCAGACAAAGAAAGTACAATGACCTTATGAAGAAGGCAGTGATCCAGCACATGGATGTCATCAATGCCACCACAGGAGTTCCCCTTCAAGATCTGAATCCAAACTTTGAGGAAGAAATTCGTCTTCTGCTCCTCGAGAAAATTGTCACTGCCAATGGCAAGCCCCTCCTTCTGGATCTGGAACGCCACAAATCCTATGCCACTACAGGACTGTACTATGCTCTCTGCCAAAGAGTGCTAAGGACACAGTAGTGGAAAGGCTCGCAGAAATCTTCTCCGATGCCACCATCTTCTCACAAGATTATGCCCTCAAGGATGATGAGCCTTCTGTCATTCAAAGACAACCAAGAACTCCAAGGGATGACTCCTGGGATCAGTACTCCTACAGCAGTCGCTCCTTTCAAACACTCTATCAAGATGACGCCTCCCTTGCTTCAGTAGAGGCAGTCATGACTACTTGGGCAGACAAAGTCAGAACTTGGGGACAGAATCAGGCACCAGTGACTAATGCGACGGGATACAGCTTACAATTCAGCTTTACAGCTTTACAATTGGCAGGCTTATTCTAGAAAATAATCAATAACTGCTCACTTATTTGGAAATACAAACTTTACATCTCTTTAGATTCGTTAGATTAATCAATGCACAATGGTATTGTCCATGTAGCATGCGAGGTTATGAGATGTTACTCATTCTATTTCTTATATGTCTATCCCCTATGGTTGTTAATGGAATGTTGCTATCCTTTGATGCAGATTGCTCCTATGAGTTTCTTCTTGCATTCTTCATCGATATGTCCTTCTCCTTTACTGCAACTCAACTCCCTTGATTCGCTCTAAAGCAATCCCCTTGTTCCTTACTCCTATTGACGCTCTTAATCTCAACAAGACGTTCATCTGTCGTCGATCGAATCGCGATGAGGATCCTATATTATACCATGGACTCCTATGGAGTCCACCTTTTCTATCCTATTGCATCGTAATCTCAATGGGATCCTATTATCTCGACCACTGCAGGAGCCTCTACTACTGATATCCCTATCACCGGCAAAGCCCTATTGCCGCATCTCCGAGTTGATCGCGATCGATTGATCCAAGTTAACAAACGACTGATAGATCGATCCAAGTTAACAGAATTTGTCGAAAAATGAGCTCCGACTGCATATAGCTCGGCCTGTGTGTCATGCATTGGTCAGCTTCCAACTGCTTCTTATCAGTTCGAACTCAGTCATGCTTAATCCTCACTCATTAACTCGACGTACGTATCCAACAACACGGAGCTATTTGATCGATCGCTCCGTGTGGATGCTGTTGTTGTTGGGTTAGTTAACAACAAACTGCCGATCGATAACAACAAGCTACCTAGGACTGCATTGCGTTCGTTTCAGTTGGTCGTTTGAACCATTCAAACGAAGATTCGCTCGCTGACGCTCCGTTTGAAAGATCGCTCCTGAAGGATTCATCGATCCAAGAAAGCTCATAAATTCCATCTCGATTGACTCGATTGACTGGATATCCACCCTCCTCTTGTTCATTGCTTTGTGCCATTGCCGCCTTTTACCTTGTGATTTTCACTGCTCAATTCCTCATCTAATTATTGATAGGACCTACGACGCTTCCTTCTGCTCAGCATCGTTTTCATCTCTCACCACAACCAGGCCCCAGCCCGCATCTTGTCAGTCCACAGCGGCTTCAGACAGCCCTTTGAATCTGATCAATCACCACCATCTATCCTCAACCATGACTGAGCACCATTGACCGCATTAATTCCAGAAGCTCCTCCAGCACATGGGGAAACCAAAGAGAAGACCAAGCTTACAGAAGCCCTCGGCTTGGAGGTATCAAACACACTGGAGCCTGGAAGGATCCGGCTCAGATGGACTGGGAAAGGAACCTCAAGCACCCTATGCCTCAGGGGTTTTCATGGAGACGAACATCTAAAAAATCACACCACAATCCAGCCCATTGAATTGGCATGAAGAAAGGATGAAGGATTCCCCAGTCTCCTTATTCTCACTTTGACTGATCAAATGCCTCTGGTCCCATGTTTAGCCTTTCTCATTCGCCTTAGATAGTTGTGACTGACGAATGAGAATGGAAGGGTCTTTCAGGCTGTTTTGTTGGAGACTTCAGATATAACACTATTAATACAATAAACATGTTCCTGCTCCTGGACAGGTTCTGAGAGTCTATTGATGGAAAAATGCATCAGTGACCTCACAGTCAATGGGTCGGACTCATCATTGCTGGAACTCTAAGCAACATCTCTGTTTGCCAGTATGATTTAGACAAACCTTGCCTGGTCAGGAAAGGCTTTCTATAATTTTGCACTGATCTACTCCAGGGAAGAATCATATCATATGTTCCTCGAGCCAAACACAATGGACCCCGCTTA